AAACTCCCATAGGAGATCCGCGGGCAGTGAGGGCGTGAGCCGTGCGCGCTAGGTCGGAGTTCACACAGGAAACTCTAGGGCCTTTCCACTTCCCGAGAGTCTATTATCGGAGGGAATTGAAGCAGTGATGATCACGTTTGGGGTCAAGGGTAAGGAGGAAAGAACATAAATACTTAGAGATTTAGAAAGTCTGAGATCCAGGGGGGGAGAGGGGACCGGCAGGGACGTCCGAGCGAGGTGGCTGAGCCTAGCACCTCGGGGAGAGCTCGGACCTAGCCCCACCCGTGTGAGCCCGAGCTCTTGCAAATCTGGCGCCCTCGTCAAAGCCTCCAACCCTCTGCTCTCAGGTTCCACCTTTGCAGAGAGAGGAGGGAGATGGCGTCCACTCCGCGGGGCCGAGGGGAGGACGGAGACGGTGCGGCGTCCTTAGAGCCACGGCGCGCGCAGCGCAGGAAGCCCGTGGTCCGCGCCAGCGGTTGTTGGACGTGGGCTTTCTCGGACGGGCCGCCGACGCGTGGTAACCCAGGGTCAGGGCTTTCTCCCTCTTTGACGAACCCAGATCCCATTGGCTCGCCCGTCTGAGGAAGGACCAACCCTCTCCCCGCACACCGACCACCTGTGTTTGAGACCGTCACCTCTCTCTGAGCTCTGGGCCTTCCTGCTGTGCACGCAGGCTATAAGACTGACTACCTCATTTAGGGGAGCAGGTAGGAAGGCTCTATCATTTTTATTCGGTACTTTCCCGAATTAAAAAAAAAAATATTGGGGGAAACTTTATTCGGATGCGAGGTCCCTTCGGGTCCAAGGTAGACGGCGGAACCTGTAATTTTTTGTTGTTGTTGTTACATTTATTGACTTTTGAAAGACAGGGCACGAGTGGGGGAGGGGCAGAGAGAAAGAGAGAGAGAGAGAGGGAGACGCAGAATCCGAAGCAGGCTCCAGGCTCCAAGCCGTCAGCACAGAGCCTGACGCGGGGCTCGAACTCACGAACGAACCGCGAGATCGTGACCCGAGCCGAAGTCGGAGGCTCAAACGACGGAGCCACCCAGGCGCCCCAGAAGCACAATGTTTGTATTGCGGTCCTCAAAAATCTTGACTGCGCCAGGATTCTGGAAGAGGCAGTGTGGTGAGTGATGGGAAGACAGTGGTGGGTGATAAGAACAGCTACCAGTATTGTGCACTTTGCCATGGCCAGGCTCAGTTCCCAGCTCTTTGTAGGTACTAATATTTAATCCATGCAAAAGTCCCATGGCGTTACCCCAAGTTTCCGGAAAAGGAAACAGACACAGCGAGGTCAAACGACCTCCTCGCGGTCATGTGGCTGGTGGCGGCAGGGTGGGGGTGACGAGGCAGCCGTGGCCCCCCCCCCCCCCAGGGGGCTTAGAGTCTAACGAGGGAGACGGATGGGTTAGTGGTCAGGATCGCAGGTCGGTCAGGGCTCTAGAGTGTAAGGAAGCCCGGAGGAGGTGCCTCCCCCGGACTTAGGGGCTCTGGGAAGGCTTTCTGGAGACATCGATGAGTAGTAGAGAATAATTATGAGGTATAAGTAGAATTTTGAAGGTCAAGGTTGAGAGAAGTAGATTAGGTGTGCTTCCAGCCAGAGGGCATAGAATATGACACGTGGGCCATGAGAAACATCATGGAGCGTTAACGTGACAAGAGGGGTGCCAGGGTAGCTCAGTCAGTTGAGGTCATGATCTCACGGGGATCTCACGGGGGATACCCCCCACTCACGATTTTTCTCTCTCTCTCTCTCTCTCTCAAAAATTAAAACAAAAACAAAAATAAAAAAAAAAGTGACAACAAAAAATTTCAACGTGGCCTGAGATGTCAAAGACCAGAGCAGAGGGCAGGAGCCGATGATATTAACAAGGGTCACGGTGACATTTTCAAGTCCTGGGTTCCAATTTTCTCAGAACCAGAGTTCAAAGGGCAGACTGTGTCTCCCTTCCACCTGAGCCCCCACGGGGGCGGGGGACAGACGTCGGGGGTCCTTAATTCTCTAAGGGCCATGGGATTCTCATTTAGTTTCAGAATCCCCTCCCATGACATCAATTCACTTCTGTATCGGTCCTGGGCTATTCCTAAAACTTCAGACAAAAAGGGAGAACAAAAAAACTCCAATAAGGAATCAAATTTAGATGTGATTCAGAAGAGAGGATCAAAACAACTGGGTTTTATTTCACAAGGATAAAATAAATTGGCTTCTATCATGGAACGAGCCAGCACCGTTACTGAGGTAAAAGCCCCCTTTGTAGCAACATCGAGCTATTAGGCTATAAACCTTGACACTGGGAAAGGACCAGGGAGGAGGCTGGCCGGGGGCGGGGCCGGGGGGGGGGTGAACCGTCCACAGAACTGAGGTATTAAGCACTTCACATTTAACAAGGCAGTCTGCCCAGTGGTCTAGTCTGTCCCGTACTATCAATCTGAAAGCAATGGCTATCATTCAGCATTAAAAAAAAAAAAATAATAAGATGCACACCCTTCTTGCAAGGGGGCTGCCCTAACCATGTGTCTTAGTTTGGAACGGATCTCGCGTTCTTGGCTCCCATGGAAACACTCCATGTCTTCGTCTATCAGGCACCGATTCCTGCCTGTCTTGGCTTCTAGTTCTGTATTTCATCCGTCTCCTTTTTTTCCCTAATTTTTTTAAATGCCTATTTGTTACTGAGAAACAGAGAGAGACAGAGCATGAGCTGGGGAGGGGCAAGAGAGAGAGGGAGACACAGAATCCGAAGCAGGCTCCGGGCTCTGAGCTGTCATCGCAGAGCCCGATGCGGGGCTCGAACCCACGGACCGCGAGGTCGTGACCTGAGCCGAAGTCAGATGCTCAACCCACTGAGCCACCCAGGCGCCCCTGTCCATCTCCTTTAGGAGACTGTGTGTTCCTCAGAAACAAGGACCGTGTCTTATTTCATTTTCCTTTGTATCCTCCACAGCCCAAAGCATCCCCAGAGACCACTTGGTCAAACTTTTCCACTCGCTTCTGAGAACCTAAGTGCCGTGAGTTAAGCAGTTGGACCAGAAGGAGAACCCGGACCTCCTCGGTTGCAGTCCCGGGATTCCCGGCCACGGCTGTGGCAACAAGGCAGCTCAGGTGGGACGTCAGTTGTGAAGCTGGACGTAAATACACTCCGAGCAAGGGTAGGTGGTGCTTGCCTTGGAGCACGGCTCCCAAGCTGGCAAGGCTCTTTCTTGGCTGTGCCCCTGTGGATATTGTCCTTGTCTCCCACCTCACATGGTGGTGAAGGACATAACGTCTGGGGCAGACAGACCGGCTCTGTCACTCCCTGGCTGTGTGGCCTTAAGCGAGCTCCTCAGGCTCTCTGAGCTGTTTCCTCCTCGTCCAAAAGGGCTGGTGGTGGGGATGCTGTGAAATCGAGAGCGTACGTGCTCAGCTGGACCCGTGTCTTTGGAGGTCGTGGCCCCCCGTTGTCCAGATCAGGTTCTGCAAAGGTGAGGTGGTCAGGTTATCTGATCCCCAAGTCGATGAGGAGTCACCGTATCAAAAGATAACGTTTACAGTCTCGGGATCTTAGTAAGTGACCCTACTGTTCCCATGCCAGGCCCTCTGCACCGCCTTTCCCCCACAGGACACTGGGCTCAGCTGCAATAGCGATCTCACACAAGCAAGGACCCAGGATGACAAGTTTTATTGTCTAAACATATAACCCCGGGCCTTTGGTGGTGGGCCAGGGCCAGGGGATTTAAGAGCAAGAAAAGATTTTAGAAACTGTAACTGATTGTTGCTTCTGGCTTTTTACATAGACTCCAAGGCTTTAAACATCTCGACTCCCTCTGCACCCAGAGACCTGTTACCCACAAGCCCCCAGCTCGCTCTGTTCTGCCCTCCCCGGGACCTACACCCTGTCCGTTTGGAGGCTGAATTGCTTGCTAGTTAAAGACACGGAACCGAGCCTCCGGCTCTGCCGCTTGCTTGCTGTGGGATCTCGGGAATGTTTCTTAACCTCCCTGAGACCCGATTTCTTTATCTATAAATATGGGGCTATCTATGACATACAGCACGTGGAAAAACCAGGCTAGACCTTCTTCTTCTTTTTTTTTTCTTTTCTGATAGAATATATTTCAATGTACATTAGCTCAAAAAAGAGACACAAATGCAATCTGAAGAAAGACAAAATTCTCAGTTTCTAGAAAATGATCGATCATTCCGAGGTAAGTGGGCCGAACCCGTCTGCATTATCCAAGTGGCAGTAAGGTGACAAAACTATTTACAGAGAAAAAATTTCACTTTCATACCTCAAAGTAAGAACCGAGTAGGGCGAGATGTTTATTTATGTATTTTGGCCCCTTTTCCAAGGAACTTTTGCAATTCACAGACACGCCGAAATACTCCCTCCTGATATGCAGGTGGGACCGGACATCACTGTTGCCATTTTAGAATCATTAAGGTCCAGGGGCGCCTGGGTGGTGCAGTCGGTTAAGCGTCCGACTTCAACCAGGTCACGATCTCACGGTCCCTGAGTTCGAGCCCCGCGTCGGGCTCTGGGCTGATGGCTCAGAGCCTGGAGCCTGTTTCTGATTCTGTGTCTCCCTCTCTCTCTGCCCCTCGCCCATTCATGCTCTGT